CTGATAATGTAATTTGACCAACCTATTATTACATCCCTCCTTTTTTTTTATAACCAGCTTTAGGGATTACAAACAAACCATACGATTAGCAGAAGTTTTTAAATGCTGCATATTATCTGATCCCAAGAATCAAAACTGACTAAATTGTCCAACCAAAAAAACTTTAGTCTACAGTACAGAAGTATTAGGATCCAGCAACAAATCTAACCTGTACTGGACATTATTTCGTTTGAAATATCCAATATCCTGATGTTCCATAACATAGTTACACTGATGATTCAAAACCTCTGGAAAACAATTGTGTCAGTGCTTCCAGGCTGCGAGCGTTTTGGTGTGTACACCATAACATCTACAGACTTAGCAGGAGTTCACAGGGACTAATGAATTTCCGCTCAAACCATCTTGTGTCATTACGGAGACCACTGGCCTAATCCACTTACCTTCTGCCCAGAATCCCCCTATCAATAAAAAAGGTATCATTTTACCTTCCCTGAGGGTAGTTAAAAGTAAAGAGCCACCCTGTTAAGACTTCCTTTCAAACATGGCAGTGGTTTTCGTGCTCTCCTGTAAGCCTCTAATCCTTCTGTCGCCATCACTCGCCCATGTACTGCCCTAGAGGAAGCGAAGTCTTGCAAATTAAACCTGCAGGTTTCATGTTGTGTGTGTACTGCAGGATTCCCGGATTAGGCTAAACACACACTTTTTTATTAACCTTGAGCATAGCACTTGCTGCAGTGTGTGTGTTTGAAAAGGGCAGTTCTGTTGAAGCTCCGAGCGGCACGTTTGTCTCAGTCACTTTCTGGACGTCTGCTTACGGAGACCGAACTGCAGAACAAATCAGTGTCTGTGTGTGTAATTGTGAATGTGAGTGTGTATGCAAGCACATGAGCGTTTGTGTATAGCCGTTGGCACGGTGCTGTGTAGTTAGGACTCGGGCCAACTTTTTCTAGTGGAATTTCCTGTCTGAATCGCGCACCCCCACCGCTCCTACTCCTCTGCTTTCTCCCCCCCATCTTTCTCCCCGCCTCTTTCTATCAAAGCACAACAGGAGCCTTTTTCCTGAAAATTATTCCTGGCCTGCTCTGGCCTTTCAGGGTATTATTATTATTATTATTATCATTGAGTACTTCCTCAAAGATATGAACCCACTCCGCTCTCCACTTCAGAGTAGTCCTGATCTGGGACTTCATAATGCAAAAGTGCTTTTCCTTCTTCCTCCCCTGAGTCATGAGACTCGAAGTAGCCTTTGTTGACATCGAATACCTGCCATTGTCTTTAGTGAGAGATCAAACCGAGGATTCAAGATGCAAACTAAAAAGAAGGGATGGATGTGGGGCTCTTCCTGCTGCTTGGCAGGATGTTTAGCATGTCTGGAGTCTTCTTATGGGGGTCATGGGGGAGCAAAGATTTGTTCAGTTTTAAAACAAACATGTTACCAGAGTTCAGAGCAGATGTGAAGACTGAAAACGACTCCAGGTCAAAAGTCCCTGTGGCCGGGTTTGATTCATGAGATAAGACAGCCGGGTCTCACGGCATGAAAATGGATGTTTGTTCACGATAGTTTGTAACTTTAGTATTTTAATAGGAAGTTTGTTTAGTGTTTGTTTGTGAGGGGTTCAGTGGGACATGTAAATCCTGGCAAACAACTCTAAACTGGCAACGATTGCATTTTAACACATATGATCTTTTTGAAACTCAATCATACAATTCTATTAATAAATCATGTGGTCACTCGTGTTACTGTTATATCCTTAACAGTGGAAAACTGTTAAACGGTGAATAAGTAGATATGAGACGGATCTGATAAAAGATCATATTCAGGTGAGCAAAAATAAAAAGGGGAACACAACTTAATATTCCAAATGTCCTAACTATTTTCCAGTCTCCAGTGGGACTGTGTTGCATAAGACTGTGCCAAAACAAAAGTCCCTCAGTGCTCTGTGCACGACACGCTTAACTGCATATTAAGAATGATAATGAATGCTATAATAAAAATAGTTGACTCACAATCCTACGGCTATTCCATGGTATGTGCTTTTAGATATAATCTTAGATGCTGAGTTCTAAACTGTTTGCAATGACACAGCAGAAGCAAAACACTTGTGATGTCAGAGATCCACTAAATGTGTGTTTGTGCAAACACTCAGAAACCACAATGCAGTTAAGATACACAAAGGCTTCTATCTGAATAAATAAATGTGAATAAATCACATTTTTAAGCAGTAAATCCATGGTACAATCTTTCTGTGTAAGCAAATCTAAAGTTGTCACTGTGATTATTTTATCCTCCATGTCTCTGGCACATTGATTGCTTTTGGGACATCCACACAGTTTTGGCTATATGAAGCCCAGGGTGTAGTAACCCCACATGCCAGCACGCCCAAAGGGGACAGACGGACGGTAAATCAAGAAGCTGAGGCGTGTGAATCGTCCCAGCCGTGTACCTGTCGGTAGTTGTCCCTGCAGCCCAGCAAACAATGCAGCTGTCTGGGTGATGGAAGGTCCTGCTCAGCCCTTATAACCCCCACATCCAGCAGCACCATCCTGGGAGGGGGTGGGGAGAGGCTTCATGCAGCCTCTGGAGCTTCTGCTTGGTGCTGGTTCTTTTAGTGTTTGTGCATGTATTTTCTCTAATGTCCTGGGCATTAGTCCTTACAGAAGAAACACCAAGACTTCTTTCATGTAGAATGTGATACATTATCCAAAAAGACTTAATCACTGTACATTAGCTTTGCAGAACCGCACAAAATATAATAAGTAAAGAAAAAGTAAGCTTCATCATCCTCTTCACCAGAGATGTGCCAGGAAGCACAAGCAGGGGGCACCCCTCACACAAATCACCAACTTCTGGCTCCACTTGTGAAACAAAGCTCAAACTTCTTTTCCCCAGCTCTACGTTTCTCTCTCTTACTGGGTGCCTGTTTTGGCTTGTTCACCAGAAGCTGACTTGGATTTGTCTGACCGTCTTGCTCAAAAATAAATAAATAAATAAAATGAGGGCAGGTCAGTGGCTGAGAACCAGCAACTTAGGTCTCAATAGAAACAACAAGCCCTTGGCCTTTACAGTTCAAGGAGGAGAACAGGCATCAGACAGATTTTTACAACTCAATTTGTCTTCTAGATCAGGTCTCACTGTTCTGGGCACATTCAGCGATTAATAAAACCTACAGGGGTTTTTTTCACTGCTCTCTGAACTAATAATTTTTATTATTTGCTAATTTTTTACAAATGAAAATCTTGTAGCACAGTATAGAACATGTGTATATGTGTGGCTGCTTTATTTTGACTACATTATTACAATGGCATAGACATCAGGACATTAAAATGTCAGTTAGAACCAGAGGGTAATGTTGGTTTCTGGGAGCCAGACTAACTATATTTGAATGACAGATGAGATGAGTTCTGTGTTATCAACTGCTAGCTAGCCTGGGCCATATCCATAGACCGTATGGGAGAGATACATATACATGCTAATTGGTGCAAAGTAAGAGCCAAATAAAATCCAAGAATTTAATTCACCAAAAATTGAGCATTTTTTAAAACAATTTCTGAGCTGTAAAATTAGAGATATGGGTGTGCTGCACTGCAGTTAAAAATCTATTTAAATTGTTTTGTACAATTCTTCTCTTAATCTCATGGTTTCAACAGCGTCACTAGGGCAACGCCTCAGTAAAACTGGGCCTGTCTAAAGTCTGTTTTCAAAGGGTAAAATAATCGCCGAGCGTTAATGCATGGTCTTAAAAAAATTCCACTCCTGTCAAATGTTATACAGTTCAGAGCTGCCTTCAGGGAACCTGTCCTCCACTGGTCATGTGTGAGCCAATCCAAATTAACCAAGAACAAGATGGTGCAACATCACAATGATTGCCTCAGTCACACTAACAAAAGGCTCTATTAGGGTTAATGTCTGTCTTTGTAACTGCCGTCACCTAAAAACAACATCCAGTATTTAGCCATAGCCTGCAGGCACAGAGTCCTGTTACACACCTTGTTTTCACAGTGATGGCTAAAGTGAATTAGCACACCTGAGGCACATCTCATAGAGAAAGGTGTTGTTAACAATGCAAACACTGAATGAAATGATATTATATTTATACACTATACACACAACTGTTGCTCTTTTTCTTAAAAATACAAAAAAACAAAACCCATAAATACTAATTATTCCCAGCTGCTGTCACAGCAAGTTTAAAAAAAAAATTTTTCACTAACAGGTGAAACTGCAGAACTAAAAATAAAAAGTTTAGTAAGTTTAAGAAGTGAAACAAAGTGAGGAAGACGTTCTTGCACTGGTTAAATTTGTGTGAATATTGCTTTGCATCCCATTGGTGCTACACCAGTTTCCTCCTGACACTTGATGCCAGTGTTTTTCTTAGGCTGAGATAATGATCTGCTTTGACCTTTAACCCTTCTGGTCTTGGGCTTACTTGTCCTTGTGAGGCCAGAACTCTGCTGCACAGCTCTTTGTCTTTTTCCTCTTATAGTGAACAAACAACTGGATTTGCCAGTCAGATTCACAAAAAGTCCCACTGAGATACGGCATATTTTTCTCCATCAAAGATCTGAGATGTAAACATTTTAAAGTGGAGAGAATTAGCCAGCCTTTATGTGTGATTAGACCTCTCCTCCTCCTTAAATCATGACGGTAAAGTTTCCTATGATCTGCTGCTCTAATGACAGTAATTAATGAAAAACGGCTGTTCTAATGAGACTTCCCTTGAGCCATCAGAGCATTTATGGCAGGAAATGGCAGATTCGTGCATTTTTGGTCTGACACATAAAGCAGCATTCATTGTTGTGTAAAACTTGCTTTGGTCTTATTGGGCGGAGAGGGAGCAGTTAATGAAGGTTCTTCAGGCACATATGGGTCGGTTTTAATTACTCCTGCATTATGGGAACTGTAAAATGGAGCGGCCACTAATCAGTAACTGTATTCCAGTTTTTCGGCGAGCGTTAAGAAATGCTGTTCTCTAACATTTTTCTGTCTTTTGTGTTTGCAGGGGCGCACCACCTTTTCCCCACTTTTCACACACCTATCCCGATTGACATGCGGCACCACGAGGGGCGGTACCATTATGAGCCACACCCACTCCATTCAATGCACGGGTAGGTATCTATTGATGTCCTCTGAAACACTTTATTTCCAGCCAACTATGGGGGTTGGGAGAAATTTAATGTTTAATTCAATGTCTAATATCCAACACATTCTGTGTGGCATTAGTAGCGGAGTCTTAGTAAGTGAATATCAGCTAAACAGGTAAAATGGGGTAAAGTCATAACATTTTTCTGGCTCTTAATGGTTCACAGTTACAGCTTATGTCCCTGGGCTTGTCATAAAGTTTGGGAATCATGCTGTGTAACAAACCCAAATTAAAAGGACTTGTATTCTATTTATATTCTTTAAAAAAAAAGAGAAAAATACAAGACATACATACTATTAAGGAGGGCTGAAAATAAGCAGAGAACAAAAAGAAACAAACACAAACGCTTGCTCATAACAAGGCTCGTTATCTTAGATCACATGAATCATCAAGCCGTAATAACTCTTCACACAGTGCAACTACATTAACTCAGTAAGTCATCACCTGTGGATGGAGTTCAACATGGAAAACTCACATTCAGAGTTTTCCATGTTGTAAAAGGCTACCAGTCTAAACAAACAACTAGTGTGATTTAGTTGGAGGACTTGGTGATATGTAAAGTTGTCTCAGTGTGACATGTCAGTTGGTTTATCTCACCACCACTCCATCCAGCACTCTAGCTGTGGCAATAAAAAATATACCGTAGGTATCTTGGTGTTATGTATGCGTAACACGTGGGATGTCACGAGCAATTTGAAAGTAAAGCCAGCTGCCACTGCAGACACGGTCAAGAGAATCACCCCATCAAAGAATCTATTCCAGTCTACTAGATGGCTTTCAAAATTGTGAATGTGTCATTCTGTATCTGCCCTCGTGGACCATGGTTTAGGACTTAGGAAGCTTTCTGGTGCTGGCATCACATAAATGTGAGCTCTACCAAAAAAGTGGTCCAAACATTGAAAGAAAGTGTTTCTGCAACACAGCAACATCTTTGTTGTATCCTTTAAATGAAAATAAGAGCACTGACTGATTGAATGGTTTGTTATAACAGGGTGGAAGTTTTTTTTCCCCTCACTTTTACCACATGTATTCTAACCTGACCTAAAAACAAAGATTCATTTATTTTGTGACTTATGAGTGTAGCGTACCATAAAACTCTGGCCTGCTTAACATTACCACGCCTTCATCCTTATCTAAAATATTCGAACCCTAGAAGGGAACCCAGGAATAAGATCAATAGAGGTTTTGTGGGAATTGTGCTGTTACATTTAAATTCAGCCAGATCAGGTGATACACAGTGCAGGCAGAGCTATTCATCAACAGCAAAGCGAGAGAAAGGAGAGGGGGCAAGAGTGTGGCTCTGCACCCGGTTTGTTGTGATTAATGTGATGTGACTCTGACAGACTGCTCCCACTAATTCATCAAGGCCTTGATCTAGCTGTCTTTGCCCCGGCCCGCACCAAATTCACCTAATTACCGCGTGTCGTACTGGAGAAATGGAGCAGGCCGTCGGCGCAGGGCACCTGGTGGTGGAACTTCGTCGGTCACGATGGTTCCCGAGTGTCAGCGTTGCACATCTTTTTTGATGGATCCTTCATTACTGTTTGCATATAAAATAATGAGGTCTGAAGGCCTTTCTATAAAAGCTGCCATCCTGCAGTACTTCTTCCATCCTGTGATTCTGTAGGTATCGCAGGGCTGAACACATTACACTGCCTGCTCCTTGCTGCAGTCACTTAGGATATTTGTGCAAGCTGGTATTGTGATCTACATTGGCTACATTGGAATCACACAAGTGATCCTTTGCTCGAATCTCCGGAGAACAAAAGACTGTTATAAAACAGTATCTAGGCCAAGTATGTATCAATTTTCTATGAATTATGCAGGCTTTCAATGTCATGTGCATTTTTCAGCAAATTTCTAAAGGCTTGGTCCAAAAATTTAAAAGTAGCAACCGTCACACTGTGGTCTCCGTGCCATATCAGAGCTGGCTCTGAAACACATTAGGAAGAGCTTCTGGTGGGCGGACAGTAGAACTTGGACTTTGATACAGTACTTGTGTGCTGTTTGCTGCATATGTGCATCTTCTGTGCAAACCCACAAGCCAGGAGAGCCAGCCACCGTGCCAGTACGTTTGACCGAGTAATTAGCATCTGAAATCCAGCCTTCCGTTCCCAGAACCTCAATGACAACGCCGTGGATGAGAAAAACAGATCCCCCGCTCATTCCACAGCCTGTATTTATGCTTTTTGGGAAGCAGTTGGGGGCAAATTGCAGCACTGAAAAGTTGAAATATGCCCAAGGTTTTTGTGTGGCAGAGCTGTGGCCTACACCGCCCCTGTACACAAACAGATGTGGTGCTGCTCACCAGGCAATCAGCCTGCTGACGGCCCGCAGCCCCGCAGCTCGGAATGTGTTGATTAAATACAGTTTACGCATGAGCCATTTGGGCTGCTGTTGGGTTTTTTTTTTGCCCTTCATTGTTTTGGTTTGGGTAACATGGAGCGAGGCGGGGTAGGGTGGACTTTGGATTTTCGACTCCGTCGATTAGTTTTCGGTGGTTTTGACAGACATGTTGGTATCTTGTGTTGTTTCTTGTTGGCTCCAGGACCTACTCATTGTCACGGCTCATGTTTGAATTCGGAGGCTCCCCTGAGTTGCAGCCAGGAATGTGCGGCTGAAAAGACAAGAGAGCCATCAATCAAAAGAGCGGGATGCTGCGAATCAATAGGCTGAAATTTGCACGGTTTATCGCTTGGTTTCAGTGTAATTTTCTTACACTCAGAAAAGACTAAATGGTATGTGACAGTAGCGGAGCCGAATAATGGATAATTACCCACTGTAAAATCCCATCTCGTTTTAGTTTATTATCCAATCGTCTGACATAGTTCCACAAGGCCTCTCCTTTGTGTGCACAGTGCATGCTTCTCAGGGAGTGCAGTATCACATCAGCTCCAAATCCTCAGCATCCTGATCAGGGCCCCAAAAACATCCAAGGCAGGATCTCACCACATCCCCTGTGGGGCAGCATGGTGATTTATCTTGATCGCCTTGGCTGCCCAGAAGTACAGAAGGGAGTGTGGTGCATCATAATTCATCCCACCCTGAGCCAGTAGGGAAAATGCCAGAGAGGCAAACACTAACTTGTTGGGCAGCTAAAAGGGCAGGGAGTCAGAAGGGGAGCTGACTCTATGTGACCTCCCCGGGAACACAGAAAGAATCCTTTGGTAAAGAAAACTGATCATTTTCAGAATCTTTATTTGCTCAGACAGTCCAGATGGAGACATTCATTCTTGTTCGAGATTTATCAAATTGTTTGAATGGCTCTTTTTGAGTTCTGGGTCCTCTTAATTAAACAGGGTTTCCCTCAAATCCTTTAACAGGCAGAACAAGTATATTTCTGTTCAGTTTAATCTTTTCACTTTTTACCTTCGCACACTTGACCAATCAGCGCCTGTTGGGTTGTTGGTTTGTGAAAGTCTGACATAATAAATTAATCTGACCCCACAGTCTTAATAAAAACTATAAATTTTTCACATTTGTGTTTAAAGGCTGAAATTGAAGGGAGACCAAAGCAAAAAGAGCATGTTTGCTTAACTTATTGTTTCTGTATGATATTGGACTGGAACTGTTCTGGCCCGTAAAAACGATCCACTTTTCTTTACCTCATAACTAATTGTAGTGAAATCTGCCACCACCAGCGCTGTAATGTACATGCTCTGTGGTATGCACTTACTCACATGCTCAACAAGCCGTACCTTGTCCAAATCACTTTTTCTCACAGCAGCGTTTTAACAATGGAACAACAGAGAGCATGTAATCACACAGTACAGAACACAGAGACAAATAGCAATTACCTGCTTGAAAGCATGTCATCTACCGGCTCACACTGGCTTCCTATCCCTCTGTCTCTTTTTCTCCTCAAGTATCATCATCACCAGGACAAATGACAAGACATCTATATTAGGTCTGTTTTCCATTTCTTAGTCTATTTCCACTGGGTAGCCACCCATAGTGTTCAGGTATGATGGAAATCTCTTTAAGTGGCAGCTACTGATTAAGACGCAGGGCTCCTCCAGAGCTCAGAGCTCCTCGGAGAGCTTGCTATTAAGCCTCTGTGATTGGAGCCTCGGGAAAACACACAGACTTCAAGTAACATCTTGCCAGAAAAAGGGTGGACCGATAAGGCTTCAATAATGGTACCTGCCAAGCAAGACTATTATTTGCAACCACCTGACAGGCAGGGGCAGTAAATTTCACCTTATTATCATGGCCTCATACACACTCTTTGGCTGTTTGAGTGATTTACTGCAGTTCGAGTATTGTGTGTCAGCACGCGGGTTTGCTGTCAGCCAAGAAACAAATAACTTTGCTGATGGATAAAGGTTTAAAGTAAAATGTGGGAAAATAGGTGAGAATAAAGAGTTTGGCATTTTTATTATAACCGGAATTAAATACATTTATTTTCAAATCAAGTTTGAACTGGATAAGTGGAAGAGGATGGGTTGAAGTTCACACTTGAAACTCTGATTTTGCATTCAGTGAACAACAGTGAAAACACACTGTGGTTACAATTAAAGGCATCTCATTTGACCTTATGTCTATAAACATAAAGACACACCTACAAATGACTGTGCAGCATCAGTGGCTGAGATATTTAGTACTAAAAAGCTTTGTGCTTTAACTTTATTCGTGTTCTGATCATGTTTGCATTCTTTGGTTGCGGGTAAGTAGGTAAAACAAGTGCTTGAAACCATCAGCTATCATCTTTATGTAGTTTTTAATTTAATGCATTTGTATCCATAAACAAAAACTGTCAGATATCTGCAGATTTTGGCTTGGATATCTGCCCTCTATTGCAGATAGAATATAGACTATTATATTTTAAGATTTCATGAAACCTAAATGAAACTGACTATGTTTCATTATGGACTCAACTTCGATCCAGGATGGAGGTACAGATGCAACATGCTCAGCAGAGTCCTGTGTTGCATTGAGGCAGGTATTTCTACTGTTCTGTCCATTCAGGACACATTGGATTGCCTTTTTATTTAGCTAAACACTGGGATTCCCAGTTACTATGATGGGCTTTGAGTCCGCTCTGAGACAGCACCAGTGCCAGCTTACCCAGGTAGTCCTTCAGTGAAGCACCCAGGCACTAATCTGAGGAGGCAGTGCCAGCCTCTCTGTATGCTGTTTACAGGCAGATCGGGCAAAGCGTGTTTTTGTGTATGGAGCGTCTGTTTCTTCTCACTTCTCCCCTCCCGTCCAGAACAGAGGGCTCTTTATGGTTGTTTGAAGGGGACGGCAGAAAGTTGGCCCTCATACAAGGCCGGCAGTCTGCAGGCGCTTACTGGAAATGGAGCGAGGGCCTGGGCAGGGCTGGGCCCGGGTGCAGGTTGGCGGCCGCACAGATACACTGAAAGAAAGACTGAGCAGGGAAATTCTGAAGGGAGGATGGGGTGAGGGGGACGTCTCAGCCTTACCAGGTCCCTGACCCACCTTTCATAGCCACAGAAAGGAGTTTCAAACGGGAGCAGTCACATTCATTTCATCAAATCCTGCCTGATTTTTGATTTATTTTCCTCATTAACTTTGATTTATGCCATAAACTTTTGATAAATTAGGTTATACCTCTATAAAAGATTAACCATTCCTAACACACACACACACACACACGATGTGTACCCAGCCTGCAGTCAATGCTGCCAAAAGTCAAAACCACACATATAAACACTCATTTGGTCACACAACAGCCATGGAGATGCTGAAGTGTCAGAGTTTGCTTGGCGTCACTCGTAAAGAGAGCATTTCTGTTATTTTTATTACTTCGAATTGTTCTAGTGAGTGCTGCTGACAGATGCATTTAACTGAAAACGAGAAGATTATGTGAACGAGAGAGCTAACTCGAGGCATTTAGCGTGTAATGTTTGACAGATTTGAACAAGGCCAGCATAAAATCACTTCAATCACACACTTGAACATGTAAAGTAAGGCCTAATATGGGAACAAAATGACCAAATGGGAACATTTCAACATTCAGTTTGAACCTCTTAACATCCAACAGGTCATTGGCAACTCATCTGGGGTTAGTGTTCAGTTACACGCCACTCCTTTTTATACACTTGCTTAATCGGACCACCCAAATGGAAAATCTTATATAACATTGTATAGTTTATAGCCAACAAAATTTGCTTATTTAGCATGTGGCTAAAACAACAGCAACAAAAAAGCCCAACTCTAACCACAGATAGGTTGCTGAAGACCTGCGGGATGTTAGAAGGTTAAAAGCAGCCTTACGGTGGCCAAAACTTTAATCATTTCTTGCTCCGACTCATTGTGCAAGGCCCTCCTCAAACTCGCTGACAGTTTTAGTGAGTCATTAGTCTGGTCATTTCTAAGAAAGGGAGGACCCCGCTGTCTTCAGGGCTGTCTTACAGTTATTACCCACATCTTCCTCCCAGTGCCTGTTTCTGTCCTGACTGTAGTATGAATGACTGATGACCTATGGCTGCGATGCTCCCACGTGATCACAGAGAATGAAACTTTTCGAATGCCTTCTTCGGCGTTCACGAAAACAAGTGGATACAGGGTCTCACTTTGATTTCTGCAACATACTGATGGACAATTTACTAGCTAGCTAACATAACCACCCTCTTTTATTTAGCATTTTAGTAATCATTGCATAGGCTTAAGTGTGTTTCTGAGGGCTGGATCTGTGCCAGGTTTTCGTACCACACACTCAGGGGAAAAACAAGCCACTTGTCATGCCTAAAGCAAATTTGGCCGACATAAATACTAGTGCCCCTTCAAAGGGCTGTGTCGTACTGCCAGCGGCTATCAGACAGTTTTATCTAGCTCAGGATTACAACACCTACTTGTCTGCGTTCTTGCTAGCACAGCTGCCAATTACCTGCCACAGGTAACAAATTTACTGTATAGGCCAATTTGACCGGCAGGCTGACGGAGAACTTCAGACAAACTTCGAGCCGAATGTGGCTACAGGGAACCACTTAAGGTTTTAAGCATCTGCTTGTGTCCTCTTATCACACTCCTTGTAATACTTGATTTGAGACACCGAGCAGTTTTGCCCACCCGAACAGATACAACACACTTCATCGTAGCGTTGCAGTTGAAGTCCTGGTCTCAACTTGTCTGTAGCTTTAGGGCTTAATGGGAGAAGGTGAACAAATGGGGATTATTATGTATTAGCTGTGTGACTGGGGAGGGGAAAGGGTGTAAATGGATTTGGACTGAAGACACAAAAGTTAAGGCATGTCTATGAACATACCACTGGAGATCATTCAGGAGATAACAACAATGCTAATATTCAAATGAACGCACTCTATTTTCTCTCCCTTGATCTCTCGCAGTCTGTCTTGCGCCTTCCCTTAATCCACTCTGCCTCTAAATCTTTCTACCGCTATTTATATTTGTCCAATTTTTACTTCCTTTCCACAGGCCTCCTGGACTGACGGGCAGTCCAGTCATCTCAGATATTTCGCTGATTCGCCTGTCTCCTCACGCGGCAGCCGGGACCGGCGAGTCACCATTCAGCCCTCCACATCCGTATGTCAGCCCTCACATGGAGCACTACCTACGCTCAGTACACAGCAGTCCCACCCTCTCTATGATCTCAGCGGCCCGAGGACTGAGCCCTGCTGACGGTAAGATTTTCCCCCCTCAGTGGATCTGATGCACCACCACAAAAATGTCAGTGAGCAGTGGAGCTTAAACCATGTTGGTATATTTGAATAGAACTTGTTCTTTAAAGTTTATCAGAGTACATTTTTCTCAGCATTACCTTGTGAAGCTGTGTGTCAGGATGCAAATGTGTAATTCTGTAGACTAAGAAGTTAAACGGGATTCCGACAAAGTCTGTGTGATACTTTTTATAACTTGAAGAATATGTGCGAGTAATCAGCCTGCAGACTCAAAGTGGTGTGCTCATCCCGTGCCCTCCATCACAATCTAACCAGAGTTCTTATAATAGTCAGATTTTTGCTGCTGTGTTTGTAAGAAAGGACACGTTGGACATTGTTTAGAGTTTGTGTCTGAAAATGGCTCAGGTTTCACTGATTGTCCTTCTTGCATTCTGGTACAATTCAGAATTAAGTTTATGGTCCATTTAGAATAAACTTGCATGAGATGTTTGCTCACCAAGTCAAAAATCTAAAGCACTTATAGTTGTTTCAAGCCATAAAAATCATCATATTGTAGTTTTCTGCACAATTAGACAGTATGTGTGGTAGGAGAGGGAAAGGATGAGAGCATGTGTGCATCCAAGTGTTTGTGAACACGAAAGGAGGCACGTACACACTTTCTCAAATTAAGATTTTTAACAATAAATATCACCACAATAATAGCTTCATTATCCCATGGATGAACTGCACCTCCACTATCTTGCACTGCATCTTGTTAACTTTGTTTTGATCTGCAGCCTTAGCGAGCTACAAGGGGAGCAGCGTCAGCCACCTTGTGCAGGTTCTGGTTAAAGTGGACCTCCAACTTTTAGAGTCTCCAGAGCAGAAAAAGGACTACTCGTACAAGAGATTTGTTTGAAAGTCTCCAGTCACTCTTCTATGTAAATTCAGCGTCTAAGAGTGCAAGCTATAATTCTGGCAACTTAAATCAGAAGCTTATAACAATTTCTTTGCACCTTTATTACATTTATATCTAAAATCTGCTCAAGTAAAATAAGATGAGACTACTTTCTGTTGGATTACAGTCACCACCATGCATCTGCAAGATTTAAACACTCAGTCTTCTTTGCTGTATGTAATGACCACAGACTGAAGAGTAAACTGGAAACTCGGCTTTAAGGAGGTGAGACAAGAGTTGAGCGGGTTTAGAATTTATGTATCCTGTGAACTATAAACCAAGTGTTTCTGCTCGGCTGCAGTTTACACAGCTGATTATTTCACCAGCAGTGATAATTAGTCTTACACCTTATACACTCCCCTACATAAGTCCTGACCCACACCTTTCATCAAGCATGCTCTGGTGTTTCTGCATGTGTGCGCATGCTGGTAATTTGTGGTTGTATCAGGCACATGCTTTGCGGTGCCCGCTCGTTTGTATGTGTGTTTGGAAAGGGGGGGACCGTGGAAAATTAGCACAGACACAAACGCTCCGTGCGCCTGAACTATTGAGTTCACACAGTGACAGAGCCATCCTCCACAACCGATCGGAGAGGAGAGGAGCCCAAGGCCTGCAACGAGCTCCAATAAATCACAGAGCACACGCTGCTGGCAAAGCAAAGCCTCCCCACCTTTCAGGAGAAGCAATGCGGAAGAGATGCTGTCACTGATAAACAGGCGGGGAAGTATGGCACCAAATGGAGGGCACTCTGCAGCTCAGCAGAACATAAATAAAGCCTTTGGAAGCATGGAGCTCAGTGGAGCATGTGTAAACTCCAGATACAGTTACCTAGGTGTAATGCATGTGTTAAAGACTGTTTGTAAAACTGCTTTTGGTGTGATACAAAGTCTGTGCTCATAATGCCAAACGCAAATGTAATTAGTAGCTGGTAGTTGCACTGATATGTATCTCTGACATTTCTACAGTATGTGTGGAGAGGTAAAAGGAAGGACGTCCTAACATCTGACTGCATGTAAAATAGCCTCAGCCGTGTTAGCAGCATTCCTCTAGTATTGGTTGGTCTCCAGAGAATAAAGTAAACTGCCTGTAGACATCCATGGATGTTTGCTCAGCACTGAACTGGAAGACTTTTGCTTTTCACCAGAATATTTCTGAATGTCTGTTGGATATATAGATGGGAAACATGGCAGCTATGTGACAATGACTGGCTGAGCTTTGGAGCGGTTTCCAAAATGACTTTCCACCTTTGACACCTTCTTGAAGTCTGGTTTATTGTAGGGTTTTACTTGACAATATTGGATTGAACTGGTTATGTGCAGGAAATGTATGATGCCTTTAAAAGTTACCAGAATAAATGATTCATTTGTTTATTTCAGCTGATAATAGTTTGAGTGGTAGCTTTAGTTTTTTTCTGTAGTATTATTATAATTTTCTGTATTATTTGTCAAAAGAAATATATGCGTTTGCAATTTATTCATATAGCACTTTCAGAAAGCTTTCTTAGCACTTTCAACAACAACACAAACAGGTGACTCACACTCATGTAGACACTCAATAAAATCCTCTCACGCTGATCTGTTGACAAAGACTAAAACAGCAGAATTACAGTTCTTTGTTTTCTACTTTTTCACTTAACTGAAGCTGGAGAAAGCCTGGGTGTGCACGGGTAGAAGCTGAGTTTGTAAAACATTTCAACTTTTGACCAGCCTAACTTTCTGTCTGCTTTCTCTGGGGCCGTGGAGCGTAGCTGCTACCCCTCATCCCTCTGTGTTCATATGTGAGGTCACACACATACACCCAGACACAAAATGCTTCTGTGCGGCGGTGGTAACGTGATCTGGCAGCCATGGAGAAACCAGGAGTATGCTTGCAGCAGCCCAAACATGCTGCCTGTGCGCTGTTACCACAGCTATGGCCTAATAGTTTCTGATGGACCCACAGTTTTGCTTTATGCGTCTGTGCGTGCAGAGGGTACAACCCCAGCTTCCCCCGTGTTTCCATTAGGGTGCATATTAATCCACTTTCAGCCCACACCCCTGTCTCCTCCAAATACCCACACCCACTGGAGGAATAGGGAAAAAGTAAAAGCAATCTGTCCCTCACTCTTATAGTTTATGACATTTTTAAACATTGCTTTACTGGATGCAGGTGTTAACACTTTTTACGTCAATATTACTTTTGCTCATGCAGCGTTTAAGGCTTCCTCAGCATTGCACGGGTCCGTGAGCACCTGCACTCTGTGTATGACTTCAGCCTGTCAGACACAAGAGGTGCAGGAATGTGGTCCCCCCCCCTTCCCCCATTTGCCCTGCTCCCCTTCTTCTTCTGCTTCCCTTTAGTCCCCAGAGATTCTTCCCCAAACCCTTCAAGCCTCAAAGACATCAGACTTGTTTCATCAAAAAAAAAAAAAAAAAAAAAGCAAGCCTCATGCCCTGGGGCGAACATGCAGGAACGAATCTTGAGTCTGTGAAGCAGGGCACTCAATTCCTTTGCTGTTCTCCTGTTTGTTTTTGTCATTCTGTCGAGGGATATGTCAAACACTGTCTGTGAACATATCACTTCATTACAGGAAATCCATTTTGCTCAGCCCTTCTGACTTGTCAGAATTACTTTAGCATCACTTCACAGGTTTACAACGACCTCTGCACTGAGGGATGAGCGGGAATTCTAACAATTTCTCTTACTGATTGCGAGTATTTGCTTTGATCTTTATTTCTAGAAAGAGAAGCTGATCTATTCTCCATTTGTCTCTTTTCTCTGCCGCAGTAACCCACGAACACTTGAAGGACCGCGCCCTATTCAGTCTCCCGCCACCGCCTCCGGGAGCGAACCCTGCAGAGTACTACCTGATGGCCAGCGCCAGCCAGAGAAGCCCCTACGGTGACCTGCTGATGCAAAGTGGTGCGGCGGCGGCAGCTGCAGCGGCCGCAGCTCACCTTCCCGATTACATCAGCCCTGTGGATGGTGAGGAGAGAAATGCTGAGTGTACTGACACATTTACTGTACCCATCAATGTATGCATTACTAGTTTAGCTGAGAAAGAATACTTTGAGTTTAAGACAGGGTCCTTTTAAGGAAGCTAAATGGTATGTTCAAAAAATATAATATTTTATTTCAAGTTTCCATAGTGGAAAAAAGTCTAAAAAGGAAAAATGGGGTAAAAAAGAAACCAAACTGTGTAAACCAGTAGACTCAACAGAGACAGGAAGCCACATGAGGAAATAACCTTCAAAATAAAACAGGAGGAAAACTGAAAAGAAAAGACACTGACACATGATCAGAGCCTATTGTCATATATGTACCACTTTAAGGTCATTGTCTAGCATCCAGGGCTGTCGTAAATGGACATGATGAGGAAATGAAAGGTATACCTGTAACTCAGGAAATGTTGGAGAAGCTTATTATAGATGGTACTAGACTTTTAACAAATTTTACATAAAGGTGTATTTTATATCAACCCAGGGTTTCTTCTAATAGAGATGGCACGATACCACTTTTTTATGTCCGATACCGATATCATAAATTTGGATATCTGCCGATACCGATATGAAGCCGATATAGTGTTCAGTGTAATCAATAAAACAGTTTTTTTAAATATCTTGCTGCATTTTGTATAAGTTCATACTCAAGATTAAAACAACAACTACACTAAAGCTATTCTGTTATACCTGTATGCAAAAAAAAATATTTCATAGTTCAGCAATACTGATCAATCTAATAAACTTAGACCTACACCATCCTCCCTATTCTGGTCTTTTAAAGAGTACTTAGCGTAAATATTAAGCAACCTAACTAATAGGATTCCAACTCCCAGCAACAACAAAAATAAATAAATAAAAAATAGGGAACCACCCCTCACGCTCCACCTCATGATGCTTAGTCGACGTAATCAACCTTAATTTGATGCAGTGTGAAAAAAAAAATGCACAGAAATAAATTATTTTTCAAGAAATATTAAATAGATTCAACATCTTTCTTCAACAAAATTGCAGACTGCACAGATGGTACCTTCCCAAAAGAAAAAGTACTATAGCTTACTAGGGTATATATATTAGACTTAATAGTTACTATATACAGTAATGGACTTCTATTCATTTTACATCAAATTAAAACTTTGGGTGTCAGATAATTATTTATTAAAAGCTAGACATTTTAAATGAGAATAAGAAAGAAAAGTATGTCTTTGTGCTCCCTTTTCCCAGTTAATGCCCTATCGGCCCCCCTGGCTAAACTTTGCTAGATCCGCCCCTGCACAGTTACCAGCGTCAGCTACGTAGAAAAGGATCCTGGTGTAGAAAGTAATATTAAATAAATTCTAACAACAGCTTATCAAGCTTAAACATGCTGCTGTTGTTTATCCACTGGTTTCCTCTTCCTGGTGCAAAGTGGGCCAAAAACAAACAAGAGAGACGGAGTTGCGACAGAAAAGCCGATCAGCTGATCATTAAGCAGTTTCATGATTGAAGTAGCAGCAAGAAGAGGCAGTCGCTCCATATATCGTTTGTTAAGCTTAACGCAGGAATGCTTTACAAACATTCAGAGATGGACTTACACACTTGCTTTACTTCTCTCGGGGATAACTTTGTCGGAGATGAAATGCCGGGTTGCTAGCGAAGCTCCAAATGCTCAACCAGACCACCGACAGGTCCCGCATGCCACAGCCGCTCTATCACGTGATGCATACTGCTCCGTGCTAACGTTCTGAGGCGAGTTACGGCGTGTTGCAAGTTTTGTGAGGTGCTTTCGTCCAGTAATTTAGGTCAGTATTGGACGGATACCGATACGTAATATCGGATCGGTCCATCTCTAATTGTAACTAAGTCATTTTAGTGCCTAAACTGCTTAATTTAGTGTGTTGACCTAATCAGACATCAATGGAAAAAGGCAAAGACATGTTCAGGACTGGACTTTTGGAGCTCTGTGTGAGCCTCACATTGGAAAGTGACACCATGGGGGTAGCATGGAGAGAAGAAAAAAACCATGATTCCCACTGTGAGGTCAAATTTCAACAGATTTGTCCAGATTTTATCTAACAGAATGTTTGGGTTCACTGGGAGATTCTGACATGAAAATCAGTCACTGGAGAAGATAGATCATTCTGTTTGGTTCAGCTGAAAATCAGCCTGCACACTTTTATTTCATAATTAGGCATTTTTGAAAACCTCAAACCAAATCAAAACCAGAACCGGCGCTTCCAGCATGATATGTCAAAATATTATCAACCATCTTGATACGGAAACCCAAGCTTGTCTTTTATCACCACTTTAACACTAAGAGCCAAATTTAACAGCCACGTTGTCCTTTGTTCTCAGCACCAGACATGTTGATACGGTCCTCTTGTTCTTCCTCTTGAGGCTTTTTCATGGCAGTGCTTTCAACATCAAAGCTAGTGGTTTTTAGACTTACACGTATGGGGGCCAAGGCTAGTTGAGGGTGTGTAAACACTGAAAGCCCAGAGGCCAGGATCTCATAAAACCACATTACCTTAAAGTCTCTAATTCTGATTGTGTTTCAGGTGTGTTTGTGATGTCGTTATGAGTAACAGCCGACAAAAAAGAAAAACGTCCGGGGTAGCCAATAAAGAGGCAGCATGGAGGTATACCTTCATCTCTGCTCTGTATCAGGCAGGGCTCAATCCTGCATATACTGCTATGTAATAGCAGGGAGGTTATTGCTGACACACACACTCACACTCAGTGGCAGGCAGAAATTTAACCGCCAGGCTAATGCTCACAAACTCGTACACGTGTTTGCACACAAACTCACAGAGGCCAGCCTGTTCTTTGATGCCAGCCAGAACCTCGGCCCTCTATCAAAGTGACAGTCAGGCACCAGAACAGACGTTTGACTTCAGCAAGGAAACGCTTCCAAGAAACCTTCAGCCCTCATGAATGAGAAAGAGAAAGCTCACAGAGAGGAAAGTCGGCCTTTTCGATGCCTGATAATCAAACACCCTGCTTGGCACTGACCCCCTTCAGGAGCCCTCATTCTTCCTTTCATCCCATCCAACCACCCACCCAGAAAAAAAGAAAAAAAAACCTGCTGCACTGTCACGCTTCCAGAAGACACTAAAGCTGCCATCCTCACACACAGGTAGGAAAACTCAGCAGAGAGGAGAAAATCAGGTACAGGATGGCTTGAACATTAATCTTTTAAATTACCTCAATCACTTAGTCAAACAGAGCTGAGCTGAGCTGAGCTGCAGGCTGAGGCGGGGTTTCAGAAACTGTAGTCCACCGCTTTCTCCCGCCCTCCTCCTTCCTCTTCCTTCTCCCACCACCTCAGTGACCGCCGCTGTGCTGCCATGCCCACACTTGTTTGGGTGGTTGTTTACTCGTGTAGCCACAACCCCCACCCCAACACCCCCACCGCCTGCTTCACTGCAACGTCCACACTAGCTACCAGCTTTTATTTAGTGTTCTACCATCCTCGGAGTGATGTGGTCAGGTTTGGGTCACTCTGCCAGTCTCGAGGCACAGGGACCACATTGACCGAGGCGGCCAACTAATGGTCATTGCGGGCAGCCTCAGCCTGAATCAATAGCCTTATTTACTGCTAGAACATGGGAGAAGGAGGAGGAGGAGGACGTGGCAAATATGTGCTTCACCCCTGCCGTTAGTTTTGGAAGGCAGCACAGATAAAATCCATATTAAAAATCAATTTATGCACTAATATTCAGCAGACCCACCGCAAGAACTGGGAGCACTCAGTGACCCTATAGTATGCCTCGTCCAGCCCATGTTTTCCCTCTGGATGAGTGAACAGCAAGGCTCAGAGTAGAGCCCCAAACACTGGGTGCTGCTGTGAGAAGGGTGCTGCTGGAAAAGTTGTGAGCACACGGGATTTCTGGCAGGTCTGCAGGTCTTGCTGGTCCACTTAAGAATTTTTAGGATTTGCTGTCGGGTATACCTCAGACGAGAAACTTAAACACACCAATTTCTCCCCGATGAGGATGACAGCATTTGAAAGACACTGCTGTGGCGCTGACTGAAGTGGCACAGACTGTTAAAAACACAAACCTAACCAGCAAAATGATTGCTTTTTTTCCACTGTTAAGACTCTCCCTTCCCTCAGGACTGCCATATGACAGGGTGATGGACAGGTCTCCTAAGCAAACAGTGTTAGCAGTGGCCGTGAAGGCCTCGCTGCAACGCTTAACTGCTTCTGTAAGTTAGTATCGGTGCTTGCGGTATGTTTTTCACGCATCAATCACTGTCGTTATCTGGTGAGAAATCGACTGGGCTGAAATAACAAAAGTACATTCAAGTCCAAAGACACATTCATGAAAAATGTGCATGTTTGGCAGCTTGTTTAATTTAGCATTGTTTCCTAGAGTTTCTTTAATTAAAATAGCTCAGCTGGTTTAGAGTTAAAGAAAAGTTCCTTCAGTTGCTTCTTTAAGTGACAGCTAATCCCACGACTAACCTACTTTCAGTAGATTTTTACACCAGCTCATAAGCCAAAAAGGAAAAAAATGAATAAATCAGAAAACATTTTTGTTGTTACGCTGAGCTACACCTGCCAACCTAAAGATGTGTGCAGCTAATTGTCACATCCCATCAGCAGTATGACCTATGTGAGTCAACATAACTGGAAAACTCAGGTAATCATGGTGCTTCTCTCTTTCTCGTTCTTTGTTATATTCAGTGTAATATTTGTAAGGAAGCTATTTTATTGCATAATAGTAATATACAGTCTTATCAGCTTCCACAAGAACTATTTTCCTTCTCCTGTGTCTTTGTGCTCCACTGTGTGTGTGTGTGGAGGTCCACTTGCAGTGAGGCTGAGACCTGGGAAAGAAGAAACTAATATGAATATGAAGTAATGTGTAACAGTAGGGAAGTAAAGGAGACCAGGGGGACATTAAAATAAAAATAGTAGTACATTTAGCATTTTTTAATCTTTACAGATGCATCTAGTTGTGTTTGAGGCCTAAGCTTGAATGAGGTTTAAGTGATACTGGGTATATGAATATTATTTTAAATGCCCTTTGCGTATTTTAAGGGTTTGATAATGGTAAAAAAAAAAAAACAATAACAATAATAATTACAACAACTTAGATCTGTATAACACCTTTCAATAAACCTAAAGACAGTTACAAATAAATATACCAAAAAATAAATACTAATAAATAGGGCAGGACAATGTGGCCAAAAATATTTATCATGATATATATTTGCAAATTTGCGATAACAATAGAACTGATTACATAATTGATGCGAGACAAAATACTTTACAACTCCACAACTTTATCAGTGCAAAAAAACCATCAATTTATTTTCACTTAAACAAGCAGCTGTTGCTGAATTCTCTCGCAGCTGCGCTGTTCCCATGTTCTACTGTGTGACTGATAGCCTTGAGTTTAAAATCCACTTCATACTCATGTCTCTTAACAGGTGTCATTTTGGGGTCCTTATACACACACAATACGGTAATATTATGTTGAAGCACAGTACGTATTACTCTGCGAGGCTCCTGACTACGGTAGCTGTAATGCTCCGACAATCCATCAAGCGGTGCGGATTCATAGATTACCAAAGTCAAACTAGACACTTTTTTTTGCAGATTTTCGAGCACCGTGTACCACATAAAATCGGTTCGAGGTCAGTAAGCGCAACCAGAATTCATACATAAGGCACACTGGATTATAAGGTGTGCTGTCAATTTTTGAGAAAATTAAAGGCTTTTAAGAGCGCCTTAGCGTCCGAAAAATACAGTAATAACGACGGCCCGCTTGCATGTTCTACAAAAAACTGTGCTTTGGTGCCTATCTGACGGACAAAAACCAAACCAGTTTCACGTCACTGAAGTTGCACCATTTTTACAAACCAATTCTGGTTCATCTGTTTCATTCAACGATCTGCTTTTGCCCTTCTCATTCGCGGCCATGTCCGTATGAAAACAAAGGCACTGCGCATGCACATTATACCCATATTCTATCGCGATATTTGATTTTCTTATCATTGCCTAACATTGTACCGGTATTACTGTGAATGGTATAATATGGCCCAGCCCTACTAATAAATAAATAAATATACAAAATAATAAATATATTAAAATTACAAAAGATAAACTAGGGCCCATAAAACCAGTTGCCCGAGCTGGTCTTAGCCTCTTAATCCCAGTAGAATTAAGACTAAGGAAAGTAAAGTTAGTTAGTGAATAGACTTTAAAGTGTTATTAGCATTGGTACACCACCACTGCTATGGATGCAAATAAAGTCACATTATGGTATCACATTGGGAGGCTTTCAGAAGGCTGTTTGTATATGAATGCACAGGTATGTGAGGGGTGGGTGGGCAGAGAAATAACAGAGTAGTTTGCGGGAAAACCTTGAAGCTCCCATGACAAAAGCAGCAGCCAAAGTAAATGTCTGCCATCCTGAGGAAAAAGATTTCAGTGTTGATGGTGGGGGGTGGGGGCCATAGATTTGTGTACCGATGTGGTGGTGAGGGGAGAAGGAGTTGATGGGATGGGGGAGGGGGGGGGGGTTCCCCTCAGACTGCTTACACAAACACTTAACTATATGTTAGTTCATGAGCACATGGGTTGGAAGTGTGTGCATAAACACGATGGCAAACACAACGCTGGCTTTGGGCTGGACACCGGGGGCTCGTAGAGGATACAGTGCGAACCCTCTCGCTAATAAAATTCACAGTGTTCGTATTAGTGCGATTTAACAGGAAAAATAAACAGTCCCCGTCTCAGGCTTGACTGGGGGGTGGATGGAGATGAGGAGGCCGACTGGCAAAACCTTAGCTTTGGTGTAATGGTGGTGAGGGTGGTGTGGTTATATCTCTATTCAAGGTCAAGGTGGGTAAGCTCAAGATTATCTGCTCATTTAAAAGCACTTGTCAAAGCACAGAAACATTATTAGAAACTCTTATTTGGAAAAACTAGCATGCTTTGGTTCGCAGATTTGTGTTACTTTTGTATCTAGATGTTACTGTTTATACACATTAAATATTGAAAAGTTAAGCCACTCTGCACTGAACGCATTTTATTTTACCAATAACCATTAAAATCCAAGTTTTTACATTGATCTATTTCCCCCCATTTTCCCTAGAAACATAAATATTTACTTGATATTTTCCCCTTGTGTATGTGAATAGATCTTTGCTCTACTTCCATATTCATATGATGGTGCTCACTGTCCAAAGCTGAATATCTCCAGAATACTATGCAAACTAAAATCCCTTAAGAATTGTTTAGAGAACATAAATGTTATTTCTTAATGAAAACCTTTGACCCACAGAGTTAGTTGCAGTAAAACACAGTGAAGTATGCATGTTCTTGGCTTAGCTTTGCTGTCCTGTACTCAAAACAGATGCTAACCCTTTTTTTCGAAAGCAGAGACAGTTTGTTCACACGTTCAAGGATGTTAGAAGGTTTGCATTTCTTACTACGTGTTTGAGGATTTATTGGCACTGAGCTGAATTTCTTGGCAGTCTTTGTGGGTCCAACTCAGCTGCAATCCTCACCACTCCTCGTTCTGCTGTTGGCTAACTCTGCATTAGCTTAACTGTCTCCATGAACTTATCAAGAGGCCAGTGGATTCTCAGAGAACTGTTTTCACTCACATATTGGCCATGAATACAAATATTTTTCAAACACTGCTGTTTTGTTATCAGTGTTACACAAGGAAAAGCTGCAGACCTATTCTTTGCAGGGCTGCAAAGTGACCCTCCATTAGCTCCGGCTGCAGCGACACCGAGTGCTAGCAACTTCTGGAGATCAGCACAACCCTCCAATTAGAGCATTTTCATTTTCCACAAAACTATTTCGGCAGAAGCAAATGCTTAAAATAATCACGCACACTCCTCACTCGGGTTCTTTTTTAATATTCCTTTTCTTTACTGTATCAGTGTGTGCCTGTAATTATGCCTCTATATAAATCCAGATCCCACAATTACAACCAGCCCGGGATTCAGGCCCACAAAGCACCGATGCACATGCAGACACTCGCATATATGTACGCACAAACACACTCACACACGTTACCACACACTGCTGCGTCGCCACGGCCTGCGCAACATCTGTTTTCTCACTCCCTGCCGGAACCTGTTCACCCTTTCAGTCATAACCACCACCTATAAAACGCTCCTTTACCAAGTGGTGAGAGTTTCAGAGTGAATGAAAGTTGTTCCAGGTAAAATTAGGAAAGATTACTGGGCTAAACAAGAGCTTGCTGACCAAACATTGTTGAAAATTTGTTGCTGGAGGCACTGAGAATTCTTTTGAGCTGAATTAGATGTACAGATTGAAGGCGGCAGTTTAAAGATGGGGGTAGAGGGCGGCACTGTGGGCGCCGTGCCCAGAAGGGTGAGGCTGGCGCCAGCCTACCAGGGCACCAGGCTGTGAGGCCTGTTTCCTGCTTTATAAAGGGGAATATTAATACCTGTATCTCCCATTAAATCTGTTGGCAAGGGTGCAAGTTCACCTTTAAAAAAAAATTCCCCGTTCATGATCCCAGTTTTGCTTCAATCCTCCCGCCTCCCTCCTTTACTCCACTCCCACCCCTCTGTGTGGCTGGGAGATGATGACATGTTTATTTATTAACCCTACGGAGTCGCATTCCTGAGCAGCGTTTGTTGTTTTTGCCAACTCTTTGATACATGTCTATATCATCTCCACCAGCCTTTTTTCTCCTTTTCCAGGCCCCCAACTTCTATTGTCTGCCATCTGAAGCTCCTGGGAGCCTTTTAACTGAGTGCATATGCCTCTGCTTTACGACTCGCCACCTCCAAACATAATAGCTTTGGAAGTAAGCCCCTTCTTTATGGCTGCAGGTCTGGTGCGGTGATTATGGCGGTGCCTGGATTAATTTGGCTGGAGGGGTTGTGAGTTGTACCAGCAAAGAGTCGCGATTGGCAACATATTGGCAGCAGTGTAGCTGACATGCAGGAAATGTGTGTGTGTGTGTTAGGTCACTATGCACGTGCTTAGGTGAGCCGTGATGGGGCTATTATGAGTTTCCTGCCTCTCACACCTCTGATGATGCCTGTTGTAAGTTGTAATTGAACGCACTCAACTCAGCTCTGTCCCCTCACACTGGGACCAGCACCTGTTGGTCCCCACCAGTGATTTGTCTCTGTCTTATGTGGGAGTGAGAGTTGCATGCCTTTAAAAGAAATAAATACACATCAGTATGTGTGGAAAAACAAATTGCCTTCTTTAAGTTCATGGGAAAATAGTGAACCCCGTCATTTTCTTGTGCTCTTTTTGAAAAGAATGAGAAAACAGTACAAGAAGCAGGTCTAACAGGAGGCCATGAACTCTACCTTTGTGAGTCAGCCTTGTTCTTTTTTAATGGGATTCTGAAATCAATTTGTTCAAATTGCCTCTATTTAACTTCCCCAAGTACAGCGGCTGAAAGAGATTCCTATCAAAGTAATTACGGAGAATGATTAGGCCCAGATTCATTATGCATAAGAGGATGCGAATGTTAAATAGGGGAGCTGTGTGTGAGAGAGATGCAGGAGATAGGGTTTAGCTTAGCATGGCTGTGACCTCCACTAGAATGCCCGCGGCTCAGCATTTCCTCGAACATGGTCCAGGATAACTGCTGGTTTCTATTGAGGCCGTGCATAGTTTTTACACAAGGAATTTGCACATTAAAGGCATTCAACGTGAAATCCAAAAAAACATATTGGGACAATATGTGTGGAGTGTTAGATACCGTTAGCTAGCTTGGGTGTATTCAGTGCTCTGGCTTTGCAGCATTTATTTTTGCTGCAAAGCCAGAAATTTTAACATTGGCGTGTATGTGGATGCGGTCACGTTTGAACCAGTATATATTAAGGGAATGGCGGTTTTGTCATTTCCTCACAGCAATTTCCTCACAGTTAATTTATTGGTGGCAAAAATCTCAAATATCAAAAGGCAAAATTGGTGACATTTCTGCATTTGTGTCTCTTGTTGTCTGTCCCCAGTATCCCGTTTTTCCAGCCCAAGGTTGACACCCCGGCTCAGCAGAAAAAGGGCGCTGTCCATCTCGCCACTGTCAGATGCTAGCATTGACCTGCAGACCATGATTCGTACCTCACCCAACTCCCTGGTGGCCTACATCAACAATTCACGCTCCAGTTCAGCCGCTAGCAGCTCCTATGGGCACCTTTCAGTCGGCGGAATCAGGTATAATTGCAGTTCATACAAGAATACTGTATAAACATTGACAGGCATATTTATAGTTTCCAGCAACTGTAGTCTGCAGGCGTTTGTTAATTCAGATCTACCACAGTTATTAATTAATCAAACTTAAAAATAACACCATTCTTTTTCTTGAAATATCCATTATAATCAAGTTCCTTTTTTGGGTGGCTAGTAAATGTATATATTTTCTATTCACAGCTATTAAAATCAAATGGAGCGAATTTATAGTATTCATACTGTTACAACAAACCAGTAGACATGCAGGGTGGCTTCAAGTTAAGCGAGATTGCTTTGAAGAAAAGATGACACATTCTTCTCCAAAAACTATTAAAAATACATCAGTGAGCATTTTACAACTATCACTTAAAGTGTAAGGTTGCACTGGAAGTAAAGGTGCAGTGTAAGTGGGGGCTTGTCCGGGATTTGGACTGAAACCACACAAAAAGAAGAGAATGCTAGCTTATCTATTTTCACTTGGTAGTGAGGGACAATGCGACCATGATTCCAGTTGCTTTAATGTTAGTAGACAAAAGTCTCCAGCCATGTTAGCCTTAAAATATCTTTTTTCCTCTCACCCCCTCACTCAGCCCGACATTCAGCTTCCCCCATCACATCAACCCCGTTGCCTACCAGCAGCTGTTGTCCCAGCAAAGGAGTCTCAACGCCTTTGGCCACACGCCTCCTCTCATTCAACAGTCGCCATCTTCGTTCTCTGCTCGTCAACACCCCCTCACTGCATCACCTATGTCCTCCCACAACAGCACCAACTCCGAAGCAAACCAGGTAACATTCATGTCTTTATATTTTAAAGTTATACCTCAGATTGCATTATACGGATATGTAAGCTTGGGATGAATACAGATTTTCTCTGATTACCAAATTTTCACTTTTTATGTCATGATTCTAATGTTTTGTGATCACTAGGTCACATAAACATTAATAGAATAAACAA